GCTTGACAGTCTACCTTCAACTAGTGAGGCGAATCGTAGGCGTAAATCAGCACTATGCAAGAAATTGGTAAGTGTTTTCTATAATTTTCTGACTGTTAAGCGTCACGTATGATGCTAGAAACTTAAAATATTCATTATTTGTGTGTAGTTGTCCAATTTGGATGATATTTTCAAACCGGAGCGCATGAGCAATGTAGGAGTACCAAATTTTGGAGATTTCAATTTTGATGAGCTACGAGTTCAACGGTAAAGGAATAGTACTGAGTGTGGTGTGCACGTCATGCAGTGGATGCGCTATGGATCCAAGGATCTTGATAGAGTGGTGAGTATATCGTCAAACAAATAACTTGTTTAATTTACACTTTTTTAGTTGTAACGAAATCTTACATGGCATAATGCATATAGGAGAAGAACACAAATTACCGGCGCGAAAGGAGATTCTATGGTATCTGGCTACACATTTTGAAAACCTTGCACGAGAAAATCTTTCCAAGCATGTAGTAGATGAATGCATAGAACGAGGCAAAGAGAGACAGAGTTCAAACAAAAAAGCAAAGAAATGAAGTCGTTAAGTTACAATGTTGCATTATTTGGACCATACATTGAATTTGTATTTGCGAGATCGTTTCATTTTGGATTTTGAATGTTTATCGTTTATTAGATTTGTTATACAATTATGGATGTGACTGAATTTACGATTTCAATCATCTAGAACAAGTGGTCGACCACATACTCAAAGCGAGCATACCCAAAGGCAGAGTACAGGTCGACCTCGTGACGCAAAAGGTCGACCTATGATACCGTAGCAAAGTCAAAAACCATGTAGAACATGGATGGAATCTCGTCAATTTGGCCTTAATAAAATACGGTCGACCATTCTGGTTAAGAGGTCGACCTGTTTCACATTTATAAACAATGGTCGACCATTTCAGTAAAGAGGTCGACCTGTTTCACATTTATAAACAATGGTCGACCATTTCAGTAAAGAGGTCGACCTGTTTCACATTTACCCAAAACGGTCGACCATTTGTGCAAAGAGGTCGACCTTAATGAATCATGTCCTTGTACAATTAGGATTTTGTGTACTTGTCCTTGTCGAATTATGATTTTATATATCTTTCACCAATTGGATAAGGAATTCGTCTACATTATCTATAAATAGATGGGAGTCTGAAGACTTTAATCGTACTTCGATTTATGCAATTTGTTGGAGTGAAGTTGTAATATCATCGCTCTTATTGTGATCGGGTGTTGGTGGCGGTTTATTTTTATTCCGGTAGACCGTAACAATAAGTGGTCGACCTCTTTGCTAAGGTATGTCTCGTATGTGCTTGTTAATGCTTGTATGTGGTTAAATTTTTCCTACCATCCGGTCGACCACCCTCACCATCCGGTCGACCGCGCTTTTGTAATTATATGAATAGGTCGACCTTTCAGTAAATTCTGGTCGACCGCATGTTTGTTATTTAGTAATAAGGTCGACCGTACAGTTTATTCAGGTCGACCTGACGAGCGCTAATTGTGTATGTTTTTGACATTAAGTTCGTATTCCGATCGTTTCAGGATGGATAACAGAGATGATACAGATGATAGAGATGATGATGAGGTTAACTTCGATGAGGAACCTAAGGATGCTCAAGAAGGAGCTATGGATAATTCAGATGATACAGATAATACAAATGATGAAGTGGTTGGGGATGATAATGAAACCGAGGGTGCTGAAGAAGAATTTATGGATGATGAAGAAGCTACTGAATATGAACAAAAAATTCCTTCCATGGAGTTCCAAACATTAGAAGATGCAGAGAAATTTTATGATTCCTATGCTAAAGCGAAAGGATTTAGCATTCGACGTAGAGATCTTCGGAGGAATCGTCGAGGAGTAGCAATTGGGAGGACAATGGTATGTTCGAGAGAGGGGACTAGAGATAAGATGCATATAGATAAAGAAGGTCGGACTCGACAACATCGTAAGATGACAAGACATTATTGCAAGGCATCGTATACTGTACGCTTTGATCGGAATAAGAAAATGTGGGTTGTTTCTAAGTTTGAGAGGAAGCACTCACATCGTTGCTGTAATGAAGAAGAAAGTCAATTCCTTCGGTCTCATCGAAATGTGAGTGAAGGAGACAAGGCTCTGGCGATAGGGATGCGACAGTCAGGAATAAAACAACGCAACATTGTTCAGTTCATGATGAATAAAGTTGGAGGATATGAGAATCTGGGGTACACTCCAAAGGATTTGGACAATGCTGTTCAGCAATCCCGAACAGTTGACGACGATCTAATAGGAGATGTTAACCGAACATTGGGTTACTTGCAAAGTAAACCTACCTCTGATGCAGGCAGCTTCTTCAAGTACACAACCAACGATGAAGGTGAATTAGGCAATCTCTTCTGGTCGGACTCCACATCTAGAGCAGATTACCATTTTTTGGGGATGTCTTGGCGTTCGATGCATGCTACAAGCGCAACAGGTACAATCGACCATTTGTTATGATGGTTGGTGTAAATCACCACCACCGTAACATCATATATGGTTTTGCCCAGTTGGATAACGAGACAATCCCCAACTATGTTTGGTTGTTGAATACTTTTCTGGAGTGTATGAACTCTAAGATGCCCACTTCAGTGATCACAGACGGAGACAAGTCTATGCGTGGTGTCATTGCTACTGTTCTGGTTGGAGTGCCTCACCGTCTTTGTATTTGGCATATTGAGACAAATGCGACAACGGCTGTTCATAATAAGGAGTTTGTTAGCGCATTCACTTACTTGGCGAAAGCACGAATATCGATTGAGGAGTTTGAGAGGCGTTGGGAGCATTTGATTAGTCAGCATGGTTTGTCTGCAAATAAGTGGTTGCAGGATTTGTACGCTGACAAATTACTGTGGGCAGAGGCATACTTGAAGGATATTTATTTCGGTGGACTCCAATCAACCTCGCGATGTGAGTCATGTAACCATTGGATAAATGGGTATGTGGGAACTCAATACAGCTTGCAACGTTTTGTTCAGGGCATTGATGAAGCACTGGAGGGGATGCGTTTCACGGAGGTGCAGGATGATTATACTTCTAGGCACACGAGGTTGGTCTGCAAGCATGCCCTTCGCACTTGGGAAATGCAAGCTGAAAGTATCTACACTCATCGTACATTTGCTATCTTCAAGTCTGAACTAGAGAATGAGGCTTCTTATGTATTAGCGGAGAGAAGAACTGAATCAGATGGGACAGAGACATTCATACTGAAGAACTACATGAACCCAGATCGGATAAGGCGGTTAACATTTACTACGTCCAATCAAGATCTAAAATGTGAGTGTGCATTATTTGAATCTAAGGGGTTTCCATGCAGACACATGCTTACAGTAATAAAAAAATATGGGGTACACCGCACTACCCTCGTCGTGGTTCAAGCTACGATGGACCCAAAATGCGAAGACACTAAATCGTCATCCTGGAGTTGGAGGTGATGTGGGAGAGAAAGTTGGTCGACTGATAAGACATGGAGGATTGGCTCTAAAGTGTAAGCGTTTATGTGACATCGCGTGAGGTAGTGAATCTGCTTTTAATCATGTCTCTAAGACGTTGGACGACCTTACTCAATGGGCAATTGAGTTCGCGAGGGAGAGAACGGACAACACCACACCGGCAAACCCTCCAGCACCCCTTCAAAGTGTGAAAGATCCAAAAATTAGGAAGACCAAGGGGACATTCAAGTCAGCACGAACTGCATCGGGTAAAAGTTTAAGAAAGAGTTCGAAATGTGGGAAATATGGTCATTTTCGCCCTAAGTGCCCGAAACAAAGTCCCAAAAAAGGATCTTAAATTTCTTCTATTGTTGTTTAGGATTTTATTTATATTTTAATAACTGTGATTGCATTGTAATTTCTTCGAATTATCTTAATAATTTATGAGTTAATTGATTTTTGGTTGATTGGACGAAGATCGGGCGCGAGGAAAGTCAAAAAGAAAGCCACACGGGCACACACACAACCCACACGGCCGTGTGATGTTGCAATTTGGCCGTGTGGAATTATGCGAGGCCTCATACGGCCAGGCTGGGTGAGCTACACGGCCAGGCTGGCGGCAAATAGCAATAAAACGGTCGACCTCATACAAATAACGGTCGACCTGAACATACACGGTCGACCGAACATGTTAGTGAGGTCGACCGCGTATTTAATTCGGCCGACCAAACCGGTTTGTTTGCAACATCCACCCAAACCTCCCCCAATCCTCTATTTAAGAAACCCTCCCCCACTCATTCTACACCACAATCAGAACCCTATCCCACCACATCCACTCATTCTTCCTCTCCTTTCCCTTCTTCATCTTCTTCTCCATTTTCCAAAAACTCCATTTTCCAAAAACTCAAAGAAAGCTTCATCCTCATCACTTAGAAGAAGAACAAGGTATAGCTTTCACTCCTCTCTTTCATTTGAGTCGATTCTTGTCTTCTTCTTTCTGTTTTCAAAAAATCTAAAGATGTAAAAGAGGGATTTTTCCTTCTGTTCGTCAGAAGCGGTCGACCTGTTCATCATCGTGGTCGACCGCGTCTGCCCTTAAATCGATTTTTATTTCTGTTTTATGGACTGAGGTCGACCTATGATGATATTGAGGTCGACCTGTGAAGTTCGAGTTGAGATTTCTGGCCTTATTATTTAGATCTGTAGCTTGAAAATATGGACTTTGTCCTTCTGTTCGCCAGATGCGGTCGACCTTTTCATAATCATGGTCGACCGCATCTGGCCTTAAATCGATTTTTATTTCTGTTTTATGGACTGAGAGCGACCTATGATGATATTGAGGTCGACCTGTGAAGTTCGAGTTGAGATTTCTGCACTTATTATTCAAGCGATCTTATTTCTGTTTTTTTTTTTGTGCGAAACTAACACAGTTCGACCGCTTCTATTTATGAGGTCGATGATAGACCGTTAGTTACACATGTTTTCACCCCTGTTCTTACACCATTGGAGATGTGGTTTCTCGTGTTTTAGACCGATTTCACGCTAGGTTGTGCTTGTTTGTGATATTTCAGGTCCTGGCAAGTGAATGAAGGTTTAGGAGCGAGTTCGGGGTCGATTGGGTGAAGATCGGGCGCGAGACAAGTCACAAAGGAGGTCACACGGGCTGCCCTGATGTTCAAACGGCCGTGTGAAGTAATGGCCTGGCCGTGCGAGTTTTGCCGAGAGCACACACGGGCAGAGCAGAGGATCGACACGGCCGTGCAAGTGGCCGGGTTGGCCGTGCCACATTCTGCGAGAGCAAACACGCGCAAGAGGGGATGTCCACACGGCCGTGCCATTCTAGCCGTGCAAAGAGCGTGGAATTCGAACTAAATGAAACGATGCGTTTTGACTCACACGGGCAACTGGGTGAGCTGCACGGCCGTGCCACCCTGGCCGTGTGAGTCGGGATTTTCTCCTTTTAAGCAGAATTTCAGCCATAATTCGGGGGGATTCGAGTTTTTGAGAGAGAGATCAGTTCCTAGAGAGAGAAAGTGACGAGCAAGAGTTCCCAAGTGCCCTAGATTGATCTTCAACATCATTGGAGGCCAGTTTGAGCTTGGAGAAGTGCCAATCAACGTCCAGAAGCAGGAATCCATCCTTCGCTGTATGAATTCCGTGTCTGATTCTGCTTTTGCTTTCTTCTCTATGGAGTAGTTCTCCCATTCATCTGGGTATGGAGAACCCTAGATTTGTATGTTAGGCTTTGATTGTATGAACCCAAGTACTGATTATGTGATTGATTATATTCGATTGAGGTTTTAATGATTGAATGACTTGAATCCTGATCAAATTCCTGTTGTTTCTGCTTTAACCTAGAATGAGAATATCTGCCTAGGTTAATAGAGTATCCTTGATTGAAGGTAGGGAGTTGGTGACTTTAGTCGAGGAGCCAACTCACTATTCTGTACCGGATTTACTCCGGTATTGGAGGTTTTGTTCTTAGGGCCTCAATCTGTCGACTCCGGTGGAGGTTAGTCGCCCACTAGAGAGTCAGATTGAGAGGGTCTGAAGACCTTTAGTCGAGACTTCAGGCTGTTTAAGAACCTTCCGCAGTATAACTTTCATAGAAACTGAACTTGGTAATTACAATCCGGCTTAACTGCAGTCTAGGGGGAACCATATCTGGGTGACCTCTTTAACTTGAATACAACCGTTTGTTTGCTTTGTTAGTTTGATAGTTTAGACTTGCACTCCAGTTTCATTGCTAGATAACAAGAATTCACTGAGTAGTCATCAGATCTAGGACCCGGGTTGACATATAAACCTAACCCAATATACTACTCTTTAGGAAGTGGTTTCACTTGGCCAATTCCTAGGGTGACAGTAGAGTCGAGCCAAGTTTTTGGCGCCGTTGCCGGGGACGGCTAGGTTGTTGAAGAAAAGTGATTTCTGTTAATTTAGCTTTTCTTTTTGCTTTGTTTGCTTTGTCCCACTTGTGCCTTCACGGGTTTGCTTGCTTGAGTGTGTGCAGGTAGTGCATGACCCGTAGCCAGTCAGGAGGTTTACTGCCGTTGAATCCAGAGATTGACCGCACCTGTCGCCTGCTCAGGAGACAACAACGAGCTAGACTGGCTACGGAAGAGCGCATAGACGGCCACGTGAGCAGTGATTCTGAAGAAGAGCACAGGATGGACGGAGAGTATAATCCGCACCAGGGGAATCCACAGCAGGTTCCCCCGGCGAATCAGGTCCTGGGGAACAACCCCATGCCCCAGGATCATGGAGTTCATCATCCACCGCAGCCGGGCCCCACCTTGGAGTACTACTACACTCCTCGGATTGCTAACATCCGCCCGGTCATCCTCTACCCACCGATCCCAGCTAACAACTTCGAGATCAAGCCATGCTGGATTCAGCTCATCACATCCTCGATCCAGTTTCATGGCTTGAAGGATGAGGAGGCCAGGGTACATCTGTCCCGTTTTCTGCAACTGACAAACGGGTTCAAGTTGAACGGTGTTCCCGATGATGCGATCCGCCTTCATCTCTTCCCCCATTCTCTGGCGGGGAATGCTAAGAGGTGGTTGGAGACCCAGCCTCCATTGTCCATCACCTCTCGGGACGATCTGGCGGACAAGTTCCTGCACAGGTATTATCCGGCATCGAAGACTACAGAGATTCAGCGGGAGATCACTCACTTCCGCCAAGAGCCAGATGAGTCACTTCGTGATGCTTGGGAGCGGTACATGGGCTATTTCTGGCAGTGCCCCCATCATGGCTTCAGTGATGCATTCACAGTGGGGAACTTCTACAGTGCCCTTTCGCCAGATAGCCAGAGGGTGATTGAGTCTCTATGCCCAGGAGGGGATATTCTTACCAAGACTCCACCCGAGCTGAACCAGATGATCAGTACTTTGGCTGCCAGAGATCATTCTTGGGGACAGGGTAGCCGAGGCAGACAGTCCCGGGACCGTGGTGTGCACGCCATGGAGACCAGATCCGGGCTCGAGCAGCAGGTTGCTGAGCTAGTGCAGACATTGAAGCACCCCAACAGTCTGATTCCGGGCAGAGGTTTGGCTACACCTCCAGTAGCTCAATGTCAGTGGTGTGAGAGCTCCAATCACCTAGTGGAGGACTGCCAGGCTATGAGGGAGTCTACTACACCCCAGGAGCAGTTGGCCTTCATCGCCAATGCGAGGCGCCTCGATCCATACAGTAGCACATATAATGAGGGGTGGCGCCAGCATCCCAACTTTGCCTGGAGCAGCAACACCACTAAACCACCTGGTTTCCCAGTACCAGCAGGTGGTTTTCAGCAGAGGCATCCCTACCAGGCTCGACAGGGGCCAGTTCCACAACAGCCATTCCAGCAGCCCCAGCGCCAGTTTGCCGAGCCAGCAGCAGCTCCAGCCCTAGATGACAGGATGAAGAAGCTGGAAAACATTCTAGCTTCATTCATGACGAGCACTCAGGCGACTATCACGGGGTTGGACCAGAGTGTAGCCTCACTGGAGGCAGGTCAGAGGAACCAGGGTGCCATTTTGCAGGATCTGCAGACCCAGGTGGGCATCTTGGCCCGCCAAAACACTACCAGGGCACCGGGGACTCTGCCTGCCACCACTGTTCCGAATCCTCGAGATCCTCACCAGCATCAGCAGCTGGATGCCATTTTTACTAGGAGCGGTAAGACCATATCTGCTGATCCTGTCCCGGCCAAACACGAGGAACCACTGCCTGCTTCAGCACTTCCAGCCGGCGATGCAGAAGTGCGGGTGGAGAAAGAAGCCCCTGCTCCCAAGCCACAACCAGTGGTTAAGGAGCATGTACCCCAGCTTCCCTTCCCCACTCGGCTACACAAGGACAAGCTGGAGATTGAGTTTGCCAAGTTCATGGCAATGTTGAAGCAGCTCAATATCAGCATACCGTTCATGGAGGCACTGTCGAAGATGCCCAAGTATGCCAAGTTCATGAAAGATATCTGCACCAACAAGAAGAAACTTGGGGATCTCTCGACAGTGATGCTGAGCGAGGAGTGTTCTGCTATCCTGCAGAACAAGTTGCCCGAGAAGCGCAAGGATCCAGGGAGTTTTACTATCCCTCTTACTATTGGCAGCATGCATGTAGGAAAGTCCTTGGCGGACCTAGGCGCTAGCATTAACGTCATGCCATATAAGTTGTATAAAATGCTAGACCTAGGTGAACTTAGCCCTACTAGGATGAGCATTCAATTAGCTGATCGTTCTATTGTGCATCCTAGGGGAATCATAGAGGATCTGCTTGTTGGTGTTGGTGCATTCACATATCCTGTTGATTTTGTTATTCTTGATATACATGAGGATGTGGATGTGCCCTTGATTCTAGGTAGGCCATTTCTTGCCACCGCTAAGGCACTAATTGATGTGCATGATGGTAAGTTGATCTTGCGTGTTGGGGATGAACAGGCTACTTTTTCTGTGACTGAGTTTGATCACTGTGCTATGATTGCTGTCACGCCTGTGCATGCTATGTCTGATCAGGTACACGAGTCTGTCGTGTACCCTTCTGCACCTCCTATTTTGCAGGACCCTCCTATCATTCCTTCGCCGCCACTCCATCCAGCCTCGCCTCCGAACAAAAAGCTCAAGGAGGAGTGGCGGCCGAAGCAGCAGGTTGCTAAGCCTGCACGGAAGAAGAGTGGAGACCACTACGAGCTGGTCCCACCTCCTGCACCACGACCACCCTGGCCGTCTGGGTAGTCGCATGATAGACCGTTAGTTACACATGTTTTCACCCCTGTTCTTACACCATTGGAGATGTGGTTTCTCGTGTTTTAGACCGATTTCACGCTAGGTTGTGCTTGTTTGTGATATTTCAGGTCCTGGCAAGTGAATGAAGGTTTAGGAGCGAGTTCGGGGTCGATTGGGTGAAGATCGGGCGCGAGACAAGTAACAAAGGAGGTCACACGGCCGTGTGAAGTAATGGCCTGGCCGTGCGAGTTTTGTCGAGAGCACACACGGGCAGAGCAGAGGATCGACACGGTCGTGCAAGTGGCCGGGTTGGCCGTGCCACATTCTGCGAGAGCAAACACGGGCAAGAGGGGATGTCCACACGGCCGTGCCATTCTGGCCGTGCAAAGAGCCTGGAATTCGAACTAAATGAAACGATGCGTTTTGACTCACACGGGCAACTGGGTGAGCTGCACGGCCATGCCACCCTGGCCGTGTGAGTCGGGATTTTCTCCTTTTAAGTAGAATTTCAGCCACAATTCGGGGGGATTCGAGTTTTTGAGAGAGAGATCAGTTCCTAGAGAGAGAAAGTGACGAGCAAGAGTTCCCAAGTGCCCTAGATTGATCTTCAACATCATTGGAGGCCAGTTTGAGCTTGGAGAAGTGCCAATCAACGTCCAGAAGCAGGAATCCATCCTTCGCAGTATGAATTCCGTGTCTGATTCTGCTTTTGCTTTCTTCTCTATGGAGTAGTTCTCCCATTCATCTAGGTATGGAGAACCCTAGATTTGTATGTTAGGCTTTGATTGTATGAACCCAAGTACTGATTCTGTGATTGATTATATTCGATTGAGGTTTTAATGATTGAATGACTTGAATCCTGATCAAATTCTTGTTGTTTCTGATTTAACCTAGAATGAGAATATCTGCCTAGGTTAATAGAGTATCCTTGATTGAAGGTAGGGAGTTGGTGACTTTAGTCGAGGAGCCAACTCACTATTCTGTACCGGATTTACTCCGGTAGTGGAGGTTTTGTTCTTAGGGCCTCAATCTGTCGACTCCGGTGGAGGTTAGTCACCCGCTAGAGAGTCAGATTGAGAGGGTCTGAAGACCTTTAGTCGAGACTTCAGGCTGTTTAAGAACCTTCCGCA